CCTCGCTTGGGCCCTATGTTCTGCCCAGCCTCTCACCTCCCAGTGTGGCAGGAGGGCGCGGGCAGGCAAGGCTGCTTCTGCTGGGCCGCGCTCTCAGCAAAGCACTTCTGCCTCCCTGACCCAGCGGTTCCCCGGCTCCTCCCTGCGATCGGTCACAGAGAGTGGGGTGACCCCCTCCGGAGAGGGCGCGAGCCGAGGCCCAAGGAGAGTGGAGACCGGTCCGAGCGGACCCCAGAGCCAGAGCCTCGCCCAGGGCTGCTGGATCCGACTTTGTCCCTTCCTGACTGCCCGCGACTCTGCCCTGTCACCTCCAGCCCGTTTGACCTGCTCTTTGAGAACCTCTTCCCACTGCTGCCGGATGATCCTTCTGCTGATCTCTTTACAGGATACGGAGCAAGCCGGGCGCGGTGGTGCACACTGGCAATCCCAGCACTCGGGAGGCCGAGGCAGGAGGATCACTGTGAGTTCGAGGCAGACTGGGCTACATGGTGAGTTTCAGGCCAACCTGGGCTACATGGTGAGTTAAAGGCCAGCTTGGGATACACAGTGAGACCCTGCCTTTAAAAAAAATGTAATCAAAACAAAAATAAACACACCTCAATCTGGACCCATAAAGGCCTGCCCGACCGAGCCCCTGTCCTGCCCACCCCTCTGGTGGCCTTGCGTCCCCCTCCCCGATGTCCCCATGTTGAGCCTCCTTCGCTTCTCCAGGGCACCAAAGCCTCCCAGGCTCAGGGCCCCGAATCCGCAGGGCCCTGGGGTGCCGCCCGGCCTCCTCACCCTTTAGCGCAGGTGAAGGAGGCCCTGCTCCCTCTGCCTCTCCGACCGCTGTCCGTCCTCCCGCGCTTGGCTGTTTCATCTCGGCCGCCCCCAGGTGCAGACTCCATGCGGACAGCCGCGCCCCACACCCAGCCGGACACAGGCGGGAATGAAAGTAGGCGCCTGATCACTATTTGAGGAACAAATGAGCCTTTCATCCCGTCCTCCTCAGAACCTCGCCGGCGCCTTTCTTCTCCCTTCTCTCTGAGGGAAGCCTCTTCCCTCCCGCCGCCAGGGCAACCGCAAGCGTCCTTGGCGGCCCACGCTCGGGCTAGGTTCCCCTGCTCCACTCCGGCAACAGCTCCGCGCTGCTCTCCCTGTGTGAGGAGAGGACGCTGCGGTCGTCTCCCGCCCCGGAGCAGCCGGCGGGACCGCGGGTGGGTCCGGAGTCTGGGTGAGTCTCGGCCAGACCCAGGGCTCCAACTCTGGCCCTCCCTTGCCAGGCCTGTCCCTGGCGCCTGGCTCCGTCCCTCCTTCCTGGCCCTGCCTGTGCCTGCCTTTGCAGTGTGGTCCGGAGGTACCCTCGGGCCTGTGCACCCTGGATCTTCTGGGCTGCCCTTGCCCAGGGTGCCCCAGGGTCCTGCCTCTCAGACTTCGAGTGGGCTGGCCGGGCCCCCACCTCAGGCTCCTGCCTCTCTCAGCAACGCGTGTTTTGACCACCCCAGGTGGTCTCCCCACTATTGATGTCCTAGTGGGTCCCCTCCCCTTTTCGTTCCCTCTGGACTCTCCTTTTCCTGTAGAATTTTCCAAAAGCTTGTTGTTGTTCTTGTTGAGGCAGTATTGGTGTTTAGTTCAGGCTGACAATTCACAGGAATCCTCCTGCCTCTGCCTCCCAAGTGCTGGGATTACAGGCATGAGCCACCATCCCTGACTCCAAAAGCTTTCTCAAGGCAAATCTGACTATAATCACCAGTCCCCTTGAAACCTTTCGAAGGTTCCCAGCAGGGAATAGTGGCACACACCTGTAATCCCAACAATCAGGAGGCTGAGGCAGAAGGATCCTCGTGAGTTTCAAGGCCAGCCTGAACTACTCAGGGAGAGCCTGTCTCAAAAAAAAAAAAAAAAAAAAAAAAAAAAAAAAAAAAAAA